ACCATCTCCGAAGTCTTAGCAAGAATCCTCCTGAAAACAGTAAACCCTGCCATCACATAGTCTCTCCTGTTATACTACACAAAGCACAGAAAGTGAACACTGAAACAAGCTGCCTCATTCCAGTCTATATTTGTCCAACCTATTTTTATGTTACCCAAGTAATAGCTTTTATATCCTTTTACTCATGTACGAATTATTGCTCTACCATATTGTATTACTTTTGTCACTACCACTACTACTACTACTAGTGAACATCGAAATGGTACCTCACTAGTATTCACCTCACTCTGAGCCTTTATATACCCTCTGTGTCCATGTATTGTTTGTAATGGCTTGATAAAGCTCCTGGAGAGCGAAACGTTGCCACAATAAATGTCACATTAGTTGCACTTGTGTCCTTTTACTTTACAGCCCCACATTTACTGACTACCAGGACATCACCTCCAGCCTTACAGTTTCTGACTACATGGCCAGTATCAAGGGCAGTACCATTCAGCCCAGACTTTTTATGTTCCCATCTGTTGTAGAAAGCTTCCAGGTTGTCTATGAAAGCAGCTTTGATGTTATCCTCTTTTAATACCCTTGTGATTTTAGTCCACAGATTTATCTCATTTGGGCATACCCAAAAACACTTCCCTGTTTTAATACTGCTTGTAGCTAGTTCTTGGATATCTGCACAAGGGGCGTGACACCAATTTTCACAACAATGACAATTTATCCATGTGGAAGCCAGTTTGTTTGACTGACTGCAGGCTATACAGAGCTTCATAATGATTTGAATGGTTGATTTACTGTAATTCTACTAGCAACCTCTTGAATATTCTACTAATAACCTCCTTAAATGAAGCTCTAGCTATTTGTATTTCTATTTCTAACTGTACTTGTATATTGGACAGCTTACCTGGAGTTTACCTGGAGAGAGTTCCGGGGGTCAACGCCCCCGCGGCCCGGTCTGTGACCAGGCCTCCTGGTGGATCAGAGCCTGATCAACCAGGCTGTTGCTGCTGGCTGCATGCAAACCAACGTACGAGCCACAGCCCGGCTGGTCAGGAACCGACTTTAGGTGCTTGTCCAGTGCCAGCTTGAAGACTGCCAGGGGTCTGTTGGTAATCCCCCTTATGTATGCTGGGAGGCAGTTGAACAGTCTCGGGCCCCTGACACTTATTGTATGGTCTCTTAACGTGCTAGTGACACCCCTGCTTTTCATTGGAGGGATGTTGCATCGTCTGCCAAGTCTTTTGCTTTCGTAGCGAGTGATTTTCGTGTGCAAGTTCGGTACTAGTCCCTCTAGGATTTTCCAGGAGTATATAATCATGTATCTCTCCCGCCTGCGTTCCAGGGAATACAGGTTCAGGAACCTCAAGCACTCCCAGTAATTGAGGTGTTTTATCTCCGTTATGCACGCCGTGAAGGTTCTCTGTACATTTTCTAGGTCAGCAATTTCACCTGCCTTGAAAGGTGCTGTTAGTGTGCAGCAATATTCCTGATTTATATTTATTGTTTGTGTTTGATAAGGGCGCCTACAACCCCATCCGTTAACAGTCTGCTTTATTGTCCAACGAAACCGTTTGTAACCAGTCAAGGGTTCGGACCAGTCAAGGGTCCGGACCAGTCAAGGGTCCGGACCAGTCGAGGGTCCGGACCAGTCGAGGGTCCGGACCAGTCGAGGGTCCGGACCAGTCGAGGGTCCGGACCAGTCGAGGGTCCCGGGCCAGTCGAGGGTCCGGACCAGTCGAGGGTCCGGACCAGTCGAGGGTCCGGACCAGTCGAGGGTCCGGACCAGTCGAGGGTCCGGACCAGTCGAGGGTCCGGACCAGTCGAGGGTCCGGACCAGTCGAGGGTCCGGACCAGTCGAGGGTCCGGACCAGTCGAGGGTCCGGACCAGTCGAGGGTCCGGACCAGTCGAGGGTCCGGACCAGTCGAGGTTCGGACCAGTCGATGGTTCGGACCAGTCGAGGTTCGGAACCATCGAGGGTCGGACCAGTCGAGGGTCGATCCGACCAGTCACTGGTGATCAGTCGATGATTTTAGAACATCACTGGTCGGTGATGGGTGTCGTGAAGATCACGAATATCCGAGTATAGGTTGATTGACAGTTGTAAGGGTGCCGGACAGTCGGAGGTCCTGGCGTGGAGGAGGGTTCCGGAACAATCCGATTTCCATCTCAGTCAGTGGTCCTTTGACCGTAGGGTCTCATGAAGGACTGAAGAGAGGACTTATGACCGAACGTGTTGTGATAGTCCTGTTCTTGTACCAGTTGATTGGGCGTTGTCAGTCAGGGTTTTTAGTCTTGTGGGTTGCCTGTCAATAAGGTAAGTGATCATGTTTATTGCTATTCTGTTGTGCATGTTAAAGGTAATAAGTATAAGAAAAGATTGGTTTGCTGAACTTTTGGTGTGAAAGGTTTTTTACATATGTCGAGGAATGCGATTGGCCGATTTGGTGTTGGTGATGGAGTTGGACTGTTCAAACAGAAAGGGTCGCTGTTTATTTCCATTGTGACTAACAGTTAGTAACATGAGGTAATAGTATTATGTGTGTGAGGATTGGAGTTGTTGGTGAAGATATGTATAGGTGTGTAGATAGTGGTGTATGGTGAGGATTGGGATTTGGTTTGGGATAGTGGTGTTGGTTGTGAGGATAAGTGGTGTTATGTAGTTTAGGTGTGGTAGTTTGTGTTGATAGTAGGTGTTGTTGTGTGAGGATAGTGTTGGTGTGTGAGGATTAGTGGTGTGGTGTGTGAGGATAGTGGTGTTGGTGTGTGAGGATAGTGGTGTTGGTGTGTGAGGATAGTTGGTGTTGGTTTTTGGGATAGTGGTTTGGTGTGTGAGGATAGTGTGTTGGTTTGTGAGGATAGTGCAGTATAGGATGTTAGTGAGGATAGTGTTGGTGTGAGGATAGTGGTGTTGGTGTTGAAGATAGTGGTGTTGGTGTGGAGGATAGTGGAGTTGTGAGGATAGTGGGTTGTTGTGTGAGGATTAGTGTTGGTGTGAGGATAGTGGTGTTGGTGTGTGGGGAAATAGTGTTGGTGTGAGGATAGTGGGGTTGGTGGTGAGGATAGTGGTGTTGGTGTGTGAGGATAGTGGTGTTGGTGTGTGAGGATAGTGGGGGGTTGGTGTGTTGAGGATAGTGGTGTTGGTGTGAGGATAGTGTGTTGGTGTGAGGATAGTGTTGGTGTGTGAGGTTTAGTGTTGGTGTGAGGATAGTGTTGGTTTTGAGGATAGTGGTGTTGGTGTGTGAGGATAGTGGTGTTGGTGTGTGAGATATTTGTGTGTGGTGTGTGAGGATAGTGGTGTGTTGAGGATGTGTGTTGGTGTGAGGATAGGGGTTAGGGTGTGAGGATAGTTTGGTGTGAGGATAGTGGTATAGGTGTGTGAGGATAGTGGTGTTGGTGTGTGAGGATAGTGGTGTTGGTTGTGTGAAGATAGTGGTGTTGGTGTGTGAGGAATAGTGGTGTTGGTGTGTGAGGATAGTGTGTTGGTGTTGGTGGAGGATAGTGGTGTTGGTGTGTGAGGATAGTGGTTGGTGTGTGAGATAGTGGTGTGGGGTAGGATAGTGTGAGGATAGTGGTGTTGGTGTGTGAGGATAGTGGTGTTGGTGTGTGAGGATAGTGGTGTTGGTGTGTGAGGATAGTGGTGTTGGTGTGTGAGGATAGTGGTGTTGGTTGTGAGGATGTGGTGTTGGTGTGTGAGGATAGTGGTATAGGTGTGTGAGGATAGTGGTGTTGGTTGTGTGAGGATAGGGGTGTTGGTGTGTGAGGAATGGTGTAGGTGTGTGAGGATAGTGGTGTTGGTGTGTGAGGATAGTGGATGTGATAGTGGTGTGGTGGAGGATAGTGGTGTTGTGTGTGAGGTATAGTGGTTGTTGGTGTGTGAGGGATAGTGGTATGGTGTGTGAGGATAGTGGTGTTGGTGTGTGAGGAATAGTGGTAATAGTGGTGGTGTGAGGATATGGTATAGGTGTGTGAGGATAGTGGATAGTGTGGAGGATAGTGGTGTAGGTGTGGTGAGGAAGTGAAGTAGAGGATAGTGTTTTTGGGTGTGAGGAAGTAGTGGTAAGATATGGTGTGTGTGAGTAGGATAGTGGTATAAGGTTGTGTGAGGATAGTGGTGTAGGTGGTGTGAGGATAGTGGTGAATAGGTGTGTGAGTGATAGTGGTGTTGGTGTGTGGGAGGATAGTGGGGAGGTGTTGGTGAAGTAGGGTTGGTGTGTGAGGATAGTGGTGTTGGTCGTGAGGATAGTGGGGGTTGGTGGTGAGGATAGTGGTTTGAGTAAGTGTGAGGATAGAGGTAGTTGGTGATGAGGAAGTGGTGTTGGATGGAGGATAGTGGTGTGGTGTGTGAGGATAGTGGTTGGTGTGTGAGGTATAGTGGTGTTGGTGTGTGGAGGAGGTGGTGTTGGTGAGTGAGTGATAGTGGTATAGGTGTGTGAGGAGAGGATGGTTGGTGTGAGGGATAGTGGTATAGGGGGTGTGGAGGATAGTGGGTATGGTGTGTGAGGTACAGGAATTATGAAACGGGGGTGTAGAGGAAGTGGATAGGTGTGAGATAGAGGTATAGGATGTGTGAGGATAGGTAAGGTATGGCGATAATAATGAGTGGTGTGTGAGGAATACCTGGAGTTATACCTGGAGAGTATACGGGGGTCACCACCGCCCGCGGCCCGGTCCTGTGACCCGGCCTCCTGTGGATCGCCCTGATCAACCAGGCGTTGCTGCTGGCTGCACGCAAACCAACGTCAGCCACAGCCCGGTGTTGGTGTGTGATGATAGTGGTGTTGGTGTGTGAGGATAGTGTGTTGGTGTGTGAGGATAGTGGTGTTGGTGTGTGAGGATAGTGGTGTTGGTGTGTGAAGATAGTGGTTTTGGTGTGTGAAGATAGTGGTGTTGGTGTGTGAGGATAGTGGTGTTGGTGTGAGGATAGTGGTATAGGTGTGTGAGGATAGTGTAGTTTGAGGATAGTGATGCAGTAGGTGTGTGAGGATACTAGTATAATACTCACCATAATGACTAAGATACTGAGAGCAACACAACAGCTGCCGCCCACTACACTTGTTTCTCTCAGGACTAACAACGTCCACTACACTTGTTTCTCCTAGGACTAAAACAGCCCAATATACTTGTTTCTCCCAGGACTAACAACGCCCTCTACACTTGTTTTTCCTAGGACTAAAACAGCCCAATA